TCGAGCTTATCACTAAAAAACGATAACTCATTCCGATATTTTTTTATCGATAAAACCCTTGTCGAAAATCATTTTAAAAAATTATATCTCCCACATATTTTAAAGTACAGTCTCCAAATTCAAAATGTATATTAAGATGCATTTTATAGAATTTCAATTTTCGTTCAAATTTACTCTCCACCCCTATATCCACCTCCTCACCCACACCTTTGTAAAAGGCGTATTTCAAATATTAGAGACTTGTGCTTCGGAATATACATACATATGAACATTATGATAACGGTCTGAAAGTTTCATTAAGATTGTACATCTAGAAAATAAATTATTCAACAAATAAATTCTCAAAATATTGCCAACACTGCAGCGTAGCCCAACCGCCCACGCACTGCAGCGCAGCCCAAGCGCAGTTGCCTGTGTGTGTGTGTGTGTTTGTTTGTTTTTGTGTATGCGAGTATGTGCGAATTATTATTGAAATATCAGTTGCTCGAAGAGCTAGGGGATCTCGTAGTCGAGCAGTCTCGACTTCTTCTCACTTGTTTAAATTAATAAATCGATTGATTGATGACAAAGCTGTCCCAGGACAATGACCCTAAGCATATAGCCCACAAATCGAGTCTCGGTTGCTTTTCGAAACACTTCCCTAATCCCCAGACCTCAACTCATAGAGCCTAGTAGACTGCCAATGTCACAGAATATCAGAATCAGCATGGATACCGGACATGATCCGTTTTTTATTAAAACTCGAATCTGGTCAGTTATTAAAGAAAACCCCAGATATTAAAGTTACGAAAATCTTACTTTTTTATGGTTTATGTATAATCTTGGTTTGTTATGTTTAATATACTACTTTGATATATTCCTCATCGGAAGGGTGATTTAATCAATCTACAATTTACCATTTAATTTCACTTGATTTTTTTTTTTTTTAATTTCAAATAATATATGTTTTATAGGCATTTGAAGTTAGTAAATAAAAAATAAAAAAATAAAAATTTTAATATTACTCACTGTATATATGTATCTTAGTATTATTATCGTGCAAGCTTGAATTTATGTATATACAACTCTTATAAATACAATTGCTATGATTAATTGAAAGAAATTTCTAATTATAAACAGTTTCAGCTATTAAAATTACATAACATGAATAAGAAAAATATCATTGGAGCATGTTTTTGTAAGTGGAACGTGGAAGGGAAGTTTGCTAACAGACATAGTACAGGTAAAAATATTGATGGCACAGTAATCAGGAGACTATTTGTACCATTAATCCCTTTTAAAATGGTTAAACTGACAGTGGTGTTCGAATTTTCCCCATCAAGAATACTTCGGTTTGCATGTTGCATAGCAGCTGGTTTCTCTCCTGAATATTAAACTTTTTTAAATTATTTTCGAGATTAGAATTATTTTTAATACACACCTCTCAAAACATGAACTGTAATGCTTGCCGGTCGAGCATTTGATGGTGCACATGTGTAGTTACCAGCATGATGAAATGTTACAGTTTTTATCGTGAGCACACTCATTGATGAATTGGGAATATATGGGGATTTATATTGTTGACCTTGAAATGTTGAAAGCGGAGTCACGGGTGTAGTGACAATCGCAATGCCCTCATCATTAGTTCCTTTAGCGGTACTAGCATTACTTTCTATTGATCCACTCGCTGATTTGCGAAAGGATTTACTTTTTTCACCACTTGCTCTGGGTTGAAAACTTTGTCCATTTTCTTCACTGCGAAGTTCATTTTCTGCAACTGAAGTAACAACGAATCCACCTTGAGCATCATAGTTGACCATCTTATTTTCGTGATACCTACGAAATATTAAGAGGATAAAAACATGTAAATTTTTCCAGAAAAAAATAAATATTTAAATATTTATATAAAAGAAAATAATTAATTAACTAATCAATACAATTTTGCTGCGATTTTATGTTTTACTTATTATACCCTGAACCCTTTGAAAATGGGAAATCGAAGAATGTTGATGAATAAACAGTTAAAAATACATTTTTAGACTTTAGATGCAAAGCATTTATTCACAAGTAAGAAATCTCTAGTCGAGACTGCTCGACTTCGAGATCCCCTGAACGCTTCAAGCACCTGATATTTCGATAATTCGCACACAAACTCGCATACACACACAAGCACACAAGCGCACACACACGCACAAACACAGGTGACTGCGCTTTGGCTGCGCTGCAGTGTGGGCAATATTATGAGAATTTATTTGTTGAATAATTTAAT